AAAGCATACTGGAAAGTAAAGCCGAACTCAACAATTTATATATTTCTTTTTATTCTAACGTTTAATTCATTTTAATTAATTTTTTAATAATTTTGCTTACTACTTCTTCTTTTTTCTTTTCAAAATTAAAATTTAGTTTACTCCAATAAAATATTTAAATATCAACTCTCAGAAAACGTTAACTCGGTATCAATGATAGCCTATTATTTTACTACCAACTTCATGTACTTTTTCACTTCGAATATATTTAAACTTTCGTAAGAAAGATTTTTTCGTAAGAAAAATTTAAAAATAAAAGTATATAGACCGCGTAGAAAATACCATTAGAAAAAAAAAATTATTATTATTAGAAGAATAGTGATTATTGATAAAATGGTTACTTGCCATTTTTATGTTAGTCTACATATACTATGTCATATTTAATTTTGATGTGTGCCTTCAGAAATGCATGTATATATATATTTGAAAATAAAGCAATTTAAGACACTCAAATAAAAAAGAATCCAGAAGGTTTGATGATAAATCCAACGATGATCACCTGTAACAAGAAGAATTAATTTAATTCAATGATCAAAATATATATAGAATTCAATTGAAAAGTGCATCTGCGAATTGGACGATTTATATGTCAGGCTATTCTATCATTTGATTGTATGATTAATATAGTTTGCTTCTTGTTACAGGTGATCATCGTTGGATTTATCATCAAACCTTCTGGATTCTTTTTTATTTGAGTGTCTTAAATTGCTTTATTTTCAAATATATATATACATGCATTTCTGAAGGCACACATCAAAACTAAATATGACATAGTATATGTAGACTAACATAAAAATGGCAAGTAACCATTTTATCAATAATCACTATCCTTCTAATAATAATACTTTTTCTTTCTAATTGTATTTTCTACGCGGACTAGATACTTTTTTTTTAAGTTCGAATTAAATGTTTAAAATTTAGTTTAATCGATTATGAAAATTCATTAAAGATTTCTATCTCCAAAATAGAATAAACGCATTCATGGTACTTACACCTATCCTATTCTCTTCCGTATCTCCTATTTAATTGAACACACCACATCCTATTAGTTAAACGAAATCCCACTAAGTTAGCAAGTTCGACGGTCGCGTGGCTTCGAATTCCCGTTTAATGTGAAAATTGGAGTATGGCATCCGTGCATCGATTTCATTCATTGAAAATTTTATTTATTTGAGCAAATTCAATACTTATCAAATTTAATTACATAAGGAAACGATTTAAAAAAAAAAGTCCTTTTTTTTTCTTAAAATGAAAGGAAAAAAAATTCGTAAGACACAAAAATAATAAATTATTTTACATATCTGTAATTATTTAGAAATAAAATCCTTAAGAAAAAAAACCGATGACACAAAAATTCCAGTTAAAAATTCTAGAAAAAAAAGTTCAATAGCATGTACTTTCTAACGAAGCAGATACATATATAGTGTAGCAGAAAATGTTAGAAAGAGTCATGTCTTATTAGCATAATACCGAATAATAAGGACAACGGTAGAAAGTATGTTCTCTTAATACATAAAGGGCGTTTCTTCCTCTCTTTCTTACTTTCTCTTTTGAAGATCTTTTTTATCATCAGATTGCAAGCGAATGTGAACTGAAAGAGAGAAGCGTAATACGGTACAATTTGGAATGCAAAGGACGTTGTACGACTTGGTATAGTAAGAAGCTACAAAACTTCGTCGATTGATGAGCTATTTCTGAAGATAGAAAATTCCTCGATTCTTTGCAATAGAAAATGAAATGGAAGAGAAGAGAAAAAAATAGAAATATGTTCTTATATAATGGCTCTAAAGTTAATAGGTCATGGTCCTAGAAGTTCTTACATTATTTTGAAAATTGATTACTCTTCTTTTTCCTAACTTCTCAGATCATCGAACAACGATCCTAAAAATTTGTTTGCAACTTAAAAAGACTGCTTTAAAAGAATCTCGAAAAAAGTAATTAATTTTTAAAGTTGCCAAAGAATTTTTAGATCGTTTGCAAATACAATTTTCGAAGTTGTTGGCCATTTGAATTTTTTACTCTTAAAAAATGATTAAATCAAAAGTGTCGAACGAAATTCTTTCTTATCGTTTGAAGTCCCTTCAATTTAATCTCGAGAACAACGAAGCCTGTTCGTGTAATCACGTTTTTAGTATACGTCAGCACCTTTATTTTTTGTCAGTTAAAACGTAGTCGTCTCTTCTTGATAGGGAAAAAGGAAAAAAAGATAAGTATCATCCAAATAGATGAAGAGTACTGGTGGTCTATGTATATAGGTCGAGTTAACTAGACCATGTCTTTAAGACAGGGATTCTCAACTTTTCATTTTTTACTTATCCCTATAAAATCTTACAAGTAATTGGTGTACCTTTCACAGAGATTTTTCAAAAATTATCAATTAAATTTTATATATCCAGAAATATATTTACATAATATCAATAGAAAAAAAATGATAAAGAATAACATATAACGAATTATTAAATATTATAAAATTATAAATATATATATATATATAATAGAATATTTCAAAAAGGATTCATATGATACGCATCGAGGATCAAAGATCAACATATTATAAATCATTTGTATGCATATACATTTTATTTACATTCAACGCGAAATATTTGTATATAAGACACGATGTTTCCATTTTGTCATAAGCTTCTTTCACAGGAATCATCTTATCATAACTCGCGTTTTTAAGAGACCTCATGCAAATAGAAAAAGTCTCGGAATAGAAGGTAGAAAAGAGAAGTTTGCGGTTGAAAAACTTTTTCAACGTACTTATTCACAGATAGTTGAGGAACAGGATGTGTGTAGGGGTTGGGAGGGGGGCTTGAGATGATTTCGTAGCCCATCGCAGCTGGTAGGAAGTTCGTAGCTCGAAATCGAGCGTAAGAAATATCTCCCCACGAAGTCTGATAAAGCTCATGGACCTTTGAAGCGAACTAATGCTTCAACGCTGAGAGTTTGAAAAGGATGAAGAGGGGGGGGGGCTAGTGATTCTTGTACAATCGATCGCCTCGAGCAAGCTAAGAAGAAGTTCAGAATCTTCCAATTTGATCGCTTTGTTTCGGTTTATCCAAGTGTACAAAATACCAGATCTTTAGCGAAGTGTTATCGTGAAAATTATTCTCGAATTTTCTATGTTCGAGGTTTCTATGTATAAGAATTTCGTAGCTTTGCGTTGCAAGCAAATATACAATTATTTCAAATTTACAATGGGAACCGATATGATTATTCCTTCGACTCGTTGTATTTATATATAAAAATAAAAAAATGAACAAATATAAAAAAAAGGAAAAAATAGTGGAAATATTCTATGACTGAGATAATCAATAATTAGTTTAGAAACGAAATGATTTGACCGAGAAAATAATAGTTTGCTCGCGAATCATACAACGGGGGAGAATACGTATATTATTAAAACGAAGAGAGCGAAAGAGAAAGATGAGAATACAAAGTGAGAGAGAAAAGGAAAGAGAAGAGGGAATCAGAGAAACGAGAACAAACGGGATGCAACGAGCATCAATGGGAAAACTAACATTTTCGCTTTTATAGAGACGAATGTTCTGTGACATTTCTACTCTTGCTGAACATCATCGTGAATAGTAGTTGTACACGTCGGTAAAAGTTATTCTGTGAAACGAGCCGTACACCTAAACGGAAAGTAAAAAGCTTTTCGAAAAGAAAATTCACATTAAATTAATCATCCCTACGTATACATAATACATACACGCGTATCTAACGTATACATATCTCTATTATATATTATCTACTATCTATACATACATACATACATCTATTTATATTCATGTATGTATTACGCGAAAACACCCGAGATTCCGAGAAAATCATTAATTAGCCAAAACCAAATAAGATAAACGAAAAGTTTCTGCAACAACTTGTATTCTTCTTTCATTTTCTCTTTTTTTACATTTATTTTTGATGCTTTTGCAATGTTGACGAAAAGAACGAACGGGAGAAGAAAAAGGTGGTGGTGGTGGTGGAGAAGGAGGAGGAGGAAGAGGATCTCATTCGTGTCAAAATCTTTCCAACATTCTTCTCGTTAGCATTAATAATGCATCAATGTCACGGGTTGTTGGGTGTTAAATTTATCAAAGTTTTCGGTCAACCAACCAACGTCGAGAAAATATATACGTATGAAAAAAAAAATATAGAAAAGAAAAGCGAGAGAGAAAGAGAGATAGTAAGGTGATGTGTGTGGTGTGATACAGTTTAATTAATGAATTCTTTAACAGGAAATCTGATTCCATGAAGGCTTACACATAAACACATGGTGTGTAATCGTGAACGATCTATCTAAGAAAGTTCGATACAATTATTACGACGTTGAAACCGTTAAGGAAGATTATTATATCGGTAGACTCACTCGATGGCCACATTTTTCTTCGACAAGTAGAAGAGACTCCTCCTTGTTCTACCATCTTCTTCTTCTTCTTCTTCTTCTTCGTCTTTTTCTTCTTCCACCTTCTCGTCTTACTCTCCTTTTTCTTTTCTTTTATTTTCCTTTTTTTTCTTTTCTTTTCTTTTCTTTTCTTTTCTTTACCCCTAGCTCTGTATCTCGATCTTCCTTTCGCAGCACCATTCACCAGACCACAAGACATTTAGTATCTGTCTCGTTAAAAATATTTCCCATCGCAGAAGTTTATTTTTCTACGTGTTATCCTCTTTGTAGAAAATAATAATATATATCTCACACTCACACCACACCGAACAAGAGACACTTTTTCTTTTCTTTCTTTTTCTTTTTTATTTTTCTTTTTTTGTGACTCTTATCACGGATGAAAATTCTAATTATATCAATTTTATCGTTCTTTTCATTAACGTTTTTACTTAATTGGATATACAATTACTAAATTGTGAGTACGTAAAATTATGTTTAAAAAGAAGATAGGAAAAAATGGATCGTATGAAAAAGTATACCTATGTGCGTGTGTGTGTCTATGTGTGAGAAAAAGAAAAATATAAAAGATTGTTGTTGAAGGAAAGAAAAATTTATTCGCAATCGAAGCTTCCCTGGATCGAATATGCTTTTCAGTGAAAAATTACCAACGGTGAATTATGATGATATGGTACTAATTAGTACCGTTCAACATTTCCACGACTAAGGAATTTTGTTTTTCTTCCTCTTGATTTAGGCACTAATTCGTTCCAATATATCGTATAGCTCATAGATTCCTTCTCTTTCGGTTCATCGATCTCGATCTCGATCTCATCTGAATTTCGGTCGAAACTTTTGTATAGCTCGAGAAGTAATAAAACGAAAAAATAAATAAGCTCGACGACGCTGATGAGGCTGAACCCGATGAAGATCCCACAAATACCACCGATATCGCCTGCGAAACGTACAAACAGACAGACACTTTACGATACACCCCTGTCACCGAGATAAGAGACAATCTTCTTGATAATGGTAATACCATGCTATTCTGCTAAGCAAAATTCCTAGTATAGATATATTCGGATTCATGTTTCACCAAATTAAGATTTTTAAGAAAAACTTCTTGCTGATTTATTACGCTTGATTTCTCATTACAAACAAAATAATAAATAATTTTGAAGTACTGTATTTATATTACAAAGTTTCCACGCAACAAGAAATTCTACAAACAAACAAAAATACAGAAAATTCAAATGACTTACAATTAAATCACTTTTATGATCAACAAATTCATTTAAACTAGAAAATAATTATAAATGATTTTAACGAAAGAGATTCTCGATATCAGTGTGATTCGAATGTTTAAAAATAAAGACTAAAGGAAAGAAAGAAAGGAAAAAGACAAAAAGAAATAATAGAAGGGTGTTTCGTTACCGGAGAGAAAATCGAAACGAGGATTTGTTTTTTCGACCGAAAAGAATATATAGAACTAGAGTTTCTTTTTTGGAATAGATAGCAACACATTGAAAAAAACTCGATTGAAACAGTACGAGACGATCAGAAGAGAGAAAAACAAAGTTAGTTTGTCGTATTTCGAGCGAGACCGTTCTTTTTATTCTACCCGTTTGATTTACGGGATCTTAAAAAACGTCCGAAAAAATCAGATCACTCACTTTTTTCTCCAAATTTACTTACTTAAAAGTTCATACCAGGTGTAAGAGAGGTCTTGTTTTAATCTAACCATGCCGTACTTAGAAAAAAATATGTGAATTACACTCTGATCAATTATTTCGATATTGTGCCTAAAAAAAAAAGAAAATAATTTTAAAATTTAGAAGATTTTTGATAAAAAATTATTAGATAGTATTAATACTATTTTTACTTACAACAACTGCGTTTCATAATAACCACGTTTCATCTTTGAAAAAGAACTGTGAATGGTGTAAAGAACATCTTCACAAGAAGGATAGCAATTTCCACAACGTAACGAATTATATTCGTCCACCGTATTGTTCAAAGTTTCATCGTCGTGAGGGAAAACTGTTAACCAGTTGGCTGAAAAACAAAAGTATCATCGATCATCAAAATGCAAAATAAATAATGTAAATGTATGTTCGTGACACTTACATTTGTAACGATCTAAGCATGTTATATCTGTCAACGTGCATGCTCTTCTTCCATCTGTTATAAAAAAAAAAATATAAACTATACGTCATATATTATTTAATAACATGCATAAATTAATTTATCAAGCAATATTTTTTTATCATTTTTTTGCCTCTTATGTCTGAAAATTATTATTTAACTTAAAGATCATACATAAAACGATTATTTAATCGTTTCTGTTTATTCGGTCAATATTTTGGTAAAATTAATTGTTAATATTGTTAAATTTGTTAAATTTAAAATTAATTGTTAATATTGTTAAATTTGTTAAATTTAAAATTAATTGTTAATATTGTTAAATTTGTTAAATTTAAAATTAATTGTTAATATTATAAAAATTGATTCAGTATGAACAATAATTAGTCAGTATTTTTAATAAAAATAGAATTGTGTTGATATTTTATTATATATATATATATATATTGGCTGTTTATTTAAAATAAATAAATGAAAAGGTAGAAACTGAGAAGGAAGATAAAGAAAAGGAAAAATTCTAAAATGAAGTAGAAAAAACGTTAGATCGAATATAAGGGGGATTAGAAAAGCTAGGATAAACGGGTAGTTTTTAAAAGAAAAGAGAACAAAAAAATGAGCAAGAAAAAAGGGTTTAGGAAGAGCAAAGTGCGCTAGTCAGCACAGGTGCCGAGGAGAAAGACGAGTCCGTTCCACGCGAGCTTTCACCCTCGTTCAAGTTGCAGCCATCGCTGTAACCTTCTCTTAATCCTTCTACGTCGTCGTTTCAGTTCTTTCGTGCGATCAGCTTTAATGCTTTAAGTTAGCCGCAGTAAAGCCTCGTTACAAAGCTCGAGAACTCTAAACGAACGTACACCTGCAATATTCTCGGCAACGTTTTTTCTTTTTTTTCGCTATTTCGTCGTAAAATAAAAAATGAAAAGGAACAGAAATATTTTACCCGTTTGATTAATTTAATTTTTTGTTTGTTTTTTTTTTTTTCTAACGATGATTAATATATATTTTAAAATCGAAAATTATTAATATAATATTTTGTAACGCATCTCGATAAACAATTTATTCGTATAGTTTTATTTAAATAATTTCTGGTATTTTATACATTTGTTTTTCAATTTTTTTTTTTTGTTTTCAAATTTCTGACCATCCTCAAATTTGATTATTGTTGATAAAAAATGGAAAGAAAGAAATATATTGTATTATAATGGAGTCTCATAGAACAAACTTTAATTCTTTAGTCGAACAACATCGATCGATAATATTGCCGAATAGTTCATGATACTATCTCCTTCTCTTTCTCCTCTTCAAATCGTACATTCTTGAGAGAACATTGACGATCCTTCGATTAAACTATGCGAACTTTATAAGATCGATAAAAAAAACGACCAATGCATTTCTATTTCGATTATTATTATCGTTTAAAAAAATTTTCTTGTTAAATATATATGCGTGTAACGATATCGATTTCCCTTGCAAAAATAATTACTTGATAAAGAGCCATTATTACGACTTCAACGAACTAATGCATTTAATGCATACACTAGCTGAGATATGCATTTATTTCATGTATATTTGAATTTACTTGACAGAATGATTGAGAGATATCTCTCTGGTAAAATATGATTATTTAAAATAGTGGAATTACAAATCGTGTATTATTTTAATAATAATAAAAAATTATTATTATTTTAATAATAATAAAAAATTATTATTATTTTAATAATAATAAAAAATTATTATTATTATTATTATTATTATTGTTGAAAGAGAAAAAAAATGTTCAAATTATTTTAGCAAGATCTTATCAATAATGAATTCTTAATATACTGATAGCATTAGCCATTTTATTTCTTTGTTATTCTCTTATCCTTAATCATCTAATTCGTTTCAATCGCATGCGTTGTAAGCCAACACACACAAAACAAAAGTTAAAAAAAAATACATTTAAAATAATAAAATATTAATGAATGATAAAAAATGATAAATATAATGATAATCTTGAGATATATACACTTACGTTTCGATTGTACTTTTGTACGCGTAGGAAGATAAAACGGAATGCACTTGCACATTTTCCATATTTGCTCTTCCCTGCAATCGACCAAGCAATCGCTGTAACTGTAGTCACCATAACGAGTTTGAATCTCGTTAGAGAATATGCACTTCCGTTTAGGAATAGGATACGATTTGGTATGACTTGTACTATGGAAGGATACAGCCTCGATTTGCAAGAAGGATTCCAATAACGGTGAAACTAACACCTCGGTGACACCGCCGCTGATGTTATCGGGATAATCGGTAGGATTAAACAACGTCACCTATACAGACAAAGGCTCGTGTCACCTATTAGATATGATCATGTTTTATCCTACAGCTTAACGAAGTGGCAAATTTATAGCTACTTTGTTTTAAATTATATTAATGAGAAATATTTTGATTAGGTTCTCGATATTTCATATTATGTTAACATGAATTTTTGGATGACACTGTTTTATTACAATTTTTGGAGGATTGTCAACTGTTTTTTTTCTCTTTTTTTTTTTGAGATTGATCGTAAATTTAATAATATTTAAATATTATTAAAATATTGTTTATATATTTTAATCCTTTCATTATACTAACGATTCATGTAAGAGTAGTCATTGCAAAGGCCCCTAATCTAAGAAAGAATTTATATGAAATGTATTCTTTTATTAATATACATATTTTTTGTAACAGACCGTTAATAATTTATTATCGCTTTTTTCTACGTATTTATCTTTATTACTTGTATTTTATTATTATTATTAGTTTTTGTCAAAACAATCAACAAACTTATTACATTCGGTTCGTGGATAAAATTATTATAAGAAACTAGAATTGTTTTTACCTTTCAGAACACATATTTCATTTTATAAAAGAATAAATTTAATAAATATATTTAAAAATGTTACTCTACCAACCTGAAATTTTCTTCAATACATTTATCAATGAGAAATGTAAGAAATGAAAGAAATGTATTATTAGGAAAAGGAAAGATGAATGGTACAAGTATGTCGAAATACTTCGGTGAAAATTTCGGAAAACATTTCTAGGAGAAAATTTATTTCTTTAGTTCTCTTTTGAGAGAATGAGACAGATATATATATAGAGAAAGAGAAAGAAAGAGCTGTCATTACAGTGGATGGACATGTAACTTGTACCGAAAGCATGTCACGCAGAAAAGCGTTTACGTGGGCGAGAGTACGAAAAATAAAGGAATACGAAAAAGAGAGAAAAATAAAGATATAGAAACTACACGACGATGTCCATTTACAATGGTAGAACGTGTAAAAAACATTTCGGACGTAGGTAACAACCGCTGCGGACGAGGATTACTTGGAGAAGGGATTATACCTAGCATTCGCTAATGACTTTTGTGAGCTTTTTATCGTCGAGCGTTATGTCGGTTATAGTGCTTTCCCTGAATGAAGCACAGATGTTGAGTAGATAATGGTCGCCGCGTGGAGATGAGAAAAATGAAAGGTGCGAAATACCGGTTCCAACAACCTCAACCATTCCCTCCCCTCACCCTACTACTTTTAACGCATTAATGAGAGATTTAATAATACTTCTAACTCTCCAAAGATCTTCATTGATTCTTTTACATTAACTCTCTATCGATAATTGAACTTTCATTCTTTATTAAAAAGAAAAAAAAAATATCAAAGATCAAAAGTCAAAATATTTTGTTTGAGTTCGAGACAAATTTGTTTGTTCTTGTAGTAATTGTTTAAAATTGTGTGTTACGTTGTTCTGATAATAATTTTGCTTAACTTGCATATATGTAATCAGAATGAATATAATCAGAAGAATTATTGTTCGTATAATAATTTGTGTGTAAAAAATAAATCGAACGATAATTAGTGAACTTATCGTTGCATGATCGTGTAAATAATTGTATTTGTTTCAAGCTAAACATTTTTCTTTTTTTTCTTTTTTCTTTAATTTATCTCTTCTCTCAATTATATACCTTTTTAGAAAATTTTGATTAAATTGCATTGCTACATTTTTGGGATAATCGTAACATTACTGTAATTACTAAATGAAGATATTATCCGATTAAAAGGATTTCAGCAAAATTGTTTGAAATGATCTCGGTAGTATAAGATTACTCTTACCTTCCATCCGATAACAGGAAGAAAAGTGTAAAAGTAATCATCCAGGAAAGGTTCCATCACGACTGTAAGACCACATTCGACTCCTAAATTCTTGACGGTTTTCACTTTCATTGGTTTCTCGTCGTTACTGATAAATATAACATCGTAATCAAATCAATCATTTATCATTCATTCATTATATATCGTTCAATTAATAATGAATTTTGACAAATATTTAACAAAATCTGATGTGGAACTTACTTCGAATTTTTTTCTGTAATATAATTAAAAGTACAGCAATATCCGTCCTGTGTTTTTTCAAATGAGAAAATATCTGAACAATTATACTCATTACTGTTGAAAATACACTTAAGTAACATATCCGAACATTGTGGTGTTAGCTGAAATCAATACAAGCATAGAATCAATCACGATCAAATAGATTATCTACCCTTTTCTTTTTCTCGAATGGGAAAGATACACACAAACACACAGACACACACGCTTGAAGAATTCTCACTTCTTTCATTATGGCGTCCATGTCATATTCTCCCTCGTAAAAATCCAACAAAAGATTGTTCAACTCGTTACGTCGATTTTTATTCAATTTTCGCATAGAATTATAAGAGTCGCCAAATTGTTCGAACAATTCGAGAATTTCTTCCATAGTTAAATTCGTGACGTTTGATCTGTAACTAATATCAAATATCAAACGTTAAAATGTAATTAACATCATTATAATTAACATAATATTTAATATGAAATGAAATGAAATGAAATTAAATTAAAATAAAACGAAAATCATATTATATTAATATCGATTAATTCGTGCAATAATGTTTCATATTTTCATACTTGATATTATAACTTAGATTTTTATTTATTAAATTATATTTATATAAGAACAGAATATATCTAGATGACGCGATCGAGATCTTTATTTAATCAGCAAATCTTCCGAATATTATTCCAGAAAATCGATGAAGTGAAAACTCGAAGAAACATTGAAATATTATAACTCGCTAAGCGTAAAGATAAGTTTTCAAATAATGTTCGAGCACAAAGTACCAAAATGGTATTCTGCTTGAAGGCCAATGGAAAAATACGAGTAAAAGGAAAGAGTTAAAGAGTTAAAGAGAATGAGAGAGAGAGAAGGAGAAACTCTATCGGTAACTTGGAGAATAGTTTAGAATCGGTAATTCACGAAATGTCTTTTCCATTAACGTCGTGAATTTCAAGCGCAGAAGTTCAAAGTAATGCACTATAGTAGGTTCCTCTTTTAAGAGATGGATCGAAGCGACCATGGATTTTCGCATATATGAATGCTTCATCACATACGATATAACCACCGATTCCCAGGGTCTTCATTAATTTCTCTACAACCTTAATTATCCTACATTAAATATCAAACGCACACAGTAACACACACACATACACACACACATATAGTACATGAGCATTAATTAACAACAACAACAATATTAATAGTATAATAACATGATAATAATACTCACATAATTGGATAACCCACATACACAGAGAAAGAGAAATTAACCATAACAACAACAATAATAATAATAATAATAATAATAGTAATAATAATAATAGTAATAATAATAATAATAATAATAATAATCAGGTAATGATTATATTAGGATATTTGCATGACATAAAAAAGTAAAATCCAATCGGGAGTTATTTTAGCACGCGCAATACATCATTTTCTCTCGTGGTTAAAAATACATGAGATAGATCGTTAATATTAGAAGTGTTAGCTATAACATTATATGTCGTGCCGTGGGTTAATCCTCCAAATCATAAATTAATTAACGATGTAATGGCAACTGATGGTGTGATGGTCATCACCCAAACGAAAAATGGTTATCCGTAATGTGTATAATACGTTTTTAATGATCCGTCAAAATGACTGCGTCGTTTAAATACGCGTATAACTTCTCTCTTTATAACTTCCCATTTCTGTTTATGTATTATTCTTATCTACCTTTATATATAAATTTATATATATAGATATATAGATAGATATTTATGTATTACGATGTTACCTTTATGCGGTGAGTTTTATGACTGCAATATCTTGCACATGTCGGTGGTTAATAAGTTCGTTGTTGTGGTCGAAGCAACATTATTGCAAAACCTTATATACATATATATAAATGTATATGCAATATAAGAACGCAAGAAACAAAGTACTGATCGGAAAAAGGTCAGACAATCTTCATATCCTATCGCGTGAGTCCATTTTAACAAGAATTTTCCTTTCTTATGAAATATTAATCTCCTCAACGTTACCAAAAGATTCCAACAATCTACCAAAATTCAATAATTGAATATTATAATACTTCAGAACTATGTAAACTATTTATGATATCGTATAGAATAAGGCAAGAAAGTTTTTCAATTACTTTTAAATATCAATTATTTTTTTCGCGAAATTTTGTTAAACTCATCTAGATAAGAATGCACGTACTAGTTTTCGAATTTTTATTAATAATATCTAAAAAAAAAAAAAAAAGTTTCAACAAAATTTGTATTAATTTTTCATAATCATTTACAAACATTTTACCGATCCTGTATGATCCGAGAACGTATTATTGTATTTTTTTTTTATATTTTTTTTATTATTATTATTATTATATTCTCACTTATACCAATCGAATAAAAATTTAGTTATATACTTAACGTACTAGGTGTTAGAAAAGTTTGTACTATTATCTTAGAAATATTTCTCTACTTCGATCTTCCAGCTTCCATTTTACGTCTTTGACGCTTTACGTTCAAGGAACAAGCAGTGTAAAAGATTATCCAAACAAAGGGTTGAAGAGAACTCGAACGAAAGAGAAACAGATAGATGGAGAAAGAAAGAGAGAGAAAGAAAGGTAGAGTACAAAAGTACTTATAGTCTTCTTCGATCAACAATGTATCAAAGCAACTTTACAATCGTAAAGTTTAATAACTGTTATATGTCGTCCTTCCAATTGAATGATTGTAATTCGATCTCAAACGAATTTCTACTTTCTAATTTCAAAGCGTGATCCAATTTATATCTTGCATTGTACTTAAATATTCTTTTGATTTTCAAAATTCTTAAATACTTGTCTAAATTTTATTCTCATCTTTACTTCTCTCTCTCTTTCTCTGTTACTATCTCTAATTTTCATTTATTTTTTCCACAAATCTTGCGTATACCTAGAAAAAAAACATGCATTCGACTAACAAAAGTGTCCATTACCACGCCATGTGTACCTAAAACGATACACGCTAATAACGTGTTAATATATCTGCATAATTTATTGTCCATTATTTTTTTGTTTTTCTACTTAAAATGTATTTTTTCGATTGTTTGTAAATATCTCAAAAATAATTTCCGCGATATAACAAACAAATCAATTTATTTAAATAATTATAAAAAGAAAAAAATATATATATATATATGTATGAATATGCATTTTAACGAGAAAACAAGAACCCAAGATACTATCCTCGAAAAACTTCTAATTTGAAATAATTCTAAAACGCAATCGCGCAAATTCGTCTTCCTCTTTCAAGCGTATCCAATCGGAATATTCCCATCGATAAAGTTTCTATCTTCGGCATGATTGGAAAAGTATAATACTTCGCACGACCGATTCTCAGCGGTTGTATTTGCGATTTGTGGAATCGACCGGAAGCGGGCTAACGTTAACGCGTGCGGACCAGATAAAATATTCGGAATAATGCTCACTAAACAGACTAGACGATGCAACTTCAACGCGTACCCGATTGAAATCAGCCATGCAGTGCAATTTGGTGCAGTGCTATGAAGCTTTTCTCCCCTCCTCCCCCCTCCCCCTTTCCTCTTTTGCCCAACCAACGATTCGATACTCCCCATTTTACTCCCCCATTTTGCGTCGTCGTGTATCTCTCGTTATGTCATAACCAACCCAACCTCACCCTCCTCCCCCCCCCACCCCGAAACTCTCATCCCTATTCTCACCCGCACACACTACGTGTTTTACCATATAACTGTCATTCGTATTTATTTAACTCTATGAACATTTCTCACACTTTCTTCGCCATTTTAACCGCGGATTGTCGACTTATCCTGTTGATACTGCAAATTGCTATTGCTAAAAATGATAAGAGAGAATTGCCAACGTTAATATTTGTCATTGAATTTCTACGATATTAAAACCCTTTGCACTGTTAAATTAATATTATTAAAGTTGGCTGAATAAAGTTGAAAAAAACTAAATTATAATGCAAAGGATTAAAAATACTTATAATTAAAAAGCAAATAATCAAATATCTACCTGGAAAGGTGATTTTATTTGTAGGATAATGATCCGACTCAACCGAAGTCACCATTGGCATAGTTATGAACGCTGAGTAAGCATCAGTAACAAAGTACACCAATATGCATATAGTTGTCACGTGGGCAGCGAACCATATGACCCTAGAAAAAATTATTTATCGATTACTTTCAATCTCTTTCAATAATATTACCATTGATTTTCGATTTGTTTATTTGTATTATCATACTTCAACGTTTGATCTCATAGAACTACGTTTTTTATTAACCTTTACTATTAAAATGTTTGACGACAAATTTCTCGACATATAATATTGCAAACAATTTTTATTCGATTTCTTAGAATTTCATTGACATTTTAGTGATATACAAGTGATTGACTTTTACTACTTAAATATCTGATCTCTTGAAAATATGTAAATTCATATGATATGAATCATATGATACCACTTTGTCAGCTCGAATTTCCAGCGATCACAGGCTCTGAAATAAACAAAACATTGAGATATTGAAATACTACCATCACATCGGTGATAGGGCATTCATTATCAGGATCTCGATTAGTAAGAACGTATCTACTTTAATAAATGTACAGTAAATTATACTTACCTGTACTTGTTATAATCACTGTATTTATTTAAATTACCTGTCACCTGTATTTTTCACTTACCACCTATCACTTGATCGTCCACAGGGACACACCACTTAACTCGTGCACTATTTCAATGTCTTAACGCACTTATACTACTTTCCACGACATTTTTAAAACTCGTACTACTCAATAAAATTAACTCGAATTTTACATTATTACAAAATAATATAAAATGATATATTATCTATTTCATTATATATATATTTTATTTAAATTAAATAGATTATAATATATAATATATTTCAATGAAAATAAATGTAATATTATATTAAAACATTAATTTTCATAATTACCTTTCGACCCACGTTCTACGTGGCTCAATCAAATACTTGTAACCCACCAAAGCTGATTGTTCGCAATAAAGGCTGACGTATTTATGCAACGTCTTACAAATATGATATCCCAATGATGATCGTTTCGTATTAACCCACGGATGAATAACATCTACTTTAGATGTTTTCTTTCTATTTTCCATGTTTTCCTTCACGACTTCCATTTTCATGATCATAAAAATTTCAAAAATACTCTCGTGATTATACAAGATTTAAATTAACGTCTGATCTCAAATTGATTGATTCAAACTACTTAAATACTTGACCGTTACATTACCCCTTTATAATTATAATAATTAATTAAATAATTAAACAAACAAAAATGTACGCGAATCCAAAAAATGTAATTAATATGAACTCGAAATTACATTTGCGTCTTTTCATTGTCTTCTCGATAAACAAAAATCACAAAAAATATATTTAAACGATTAGTAATAAAGACACAAATATATAATGTATAAAAATTCTAATGCAGAATACTTGAAGTTTCATCGTTGACGATGAACAACCAACTGGCCGAGCTGTCGGTCTCTTGATCATTCTTTCGACTGAGAACAAGCGTTAACCACTATTCGAGAAAATAAATCGGTCAAAATGACGTTTGCACGATCCACATAATATCTGTCTATATGTTTCTCTCTCTCTCTCTCTCTCTCTCTTTCTTTTTCTTTGTTTTAAGATAGCTTTGTTTGGTTTGAACACATCAGGACAACACTTTTACGTATCTCTATCTCCCTCACTACGTCAATCACGTATCTCACGCACGATCGAGTGCAAGTCATGTCTGGTTTATTTCTTTTCTCTTTTCCATTTCTATCTCTATCTCTATCTATATTTATCTCTCTATCCATCTACCTATCTATCTTTTTCTAAGTATCAGTATATTTGACGTATCTACTGGACGAACCTAAGCTATGACGGACAGCACATGGAATAGCATTTTCCTCGCTTCCTAGCTAAACCTTTTGAATTTTTTATAACATTTTTCTACCACTATACTTTCTCTCTCTCTCTCTCTCTCTTTCCCTTTCTACTTTATCCTCTATGGAAGAGCTCGAACATACCTCGAACATGAAAATACTTACGGCTAGATGTGCATCGTATTAGGATCATTCGAATGCATCGAGAATTAAATCAAGTTTACACTGTGTTAATCGAATCTACATACTCAAACCTTTCTCGATTCTCTATGTATCTATTTATTGACTTTATCTATCCTCGATCTGTATACGATGCATTCTTTCTTTCTTGCTTCACTTTTTGAAGTTATACTTTTTTATCATTTTTTTTTTTTTATAATCTTCTTTGAGTTTCGAAGTAATGCATTTAAAAAATACTTTACTTACTTTCCATTTATTTTTGACCAGTGTATAAATAATAATATTTCAATATATTTACTATGGAATTGGAATCAAAGGTCGAGGTTAATTTCTTTATTGATTATCTATTTATTGACTTTATCTATCCTAGATCTATATCCGATTTATTCATTCTTTCTTGCCTCACTTATTTAATTTTTATCATTTTTTCTTTTTTATAATCTTCTTTGAGTTTAGATGTAATGCATTTAAAAAATACTTTACTACTCATTTTCTCTATTTATATTTGACCAGTATAAATAATAATTTTTCAATATTTATTATGGAATTGAAGTCAAAAAGGTCGGGGTTAAATTATTTTTATTTGATCACTTATAAGAAAATATTAATTTTTTATCTAGAAAAACTGATCAGTAATAAAAAGTTTAACGTATAACAAAAGTTATACGTTAAATTTTATATATATATATAATATTATATATAATTATTATAATATATAATAATTTATATATATAATATATTATATTATATATAAATTTTGTTTAAGAGAGAAAGAGAGGTAGAGAAAAATTTTATACAGACAAAACAAATAAAATATCTCGAGTTACATTACTTTTGATTTCTCACAGAATTATAAATCACTATATCCATAACGAGTATAATGCAAATTCCTGAGAGTTTAAACATTACGCTCACATTTCCGTAGAACATAGTACCTCAGAAATGACCAAAGGGAAAGAGAAAGAGAGGAAGCGAGAGAGAGAGAGAGAGAGAGAGAGAGAGAGAGAGAGAGAGAGAAAGAGAGAGAATGTGTACCTTAGCAAAGCAGAAGGTGCTTTCACTCGTTTCATAACTCTCACGTTTGTTCTGATAACTCGGTGGAAAGTAGAGTATCTCATGCTTGTGCAAAGTTTCCCAACGATTTAGCCTTATCTTTAGCACACTCTTTATGTAAAGAAGGGGCTCGATCCTTATTGTATATCAGGAATAAGAAAGTATTCCTTTTACGTGATACTACTACTACTACTACTTGTTTCTACGTTAATCGTTAATATAAATTTGTTCGAAGAAAAAGACAAAGTTTTCTATTTTTCGTATACGTTTATTTCTAATGTTTCTTTTTTTTTAACCAAATAATATTTTTTTCATAATGCAAAAATTTTACGCAAAATAAAATGAGAAATAGAGAAGAGCCTAAAATATAGATAAAATATATTTATATTTATATTTATATATTTATATTGGAAGTCTTTTTAACGCGCGAAAATACACGCTGACGTTTCGAATTTATTTACTGAATTTGAAAGCGAGATCACACTTGCAAAATCTATTTTGCTTAATCTCGAGATTACGGTCGTGTGTAAGCCACGCCCAACGGTGATCTAATTTAAATACCATCCTTGAACACGAATGAAACGTATCGCGTATAAATGTGTACACTAGACGCCAAAAGGATATTAAATTCGTGCAATTCCGAATTCAAGGGACGCGAATTCTATAGCATCGTTGCACGATTCTTCTTTCCTCTCTTTGTCCTTTTCTTTCCTTTTTCCTTTTTCGCGAACAAAAAATTGTAAAAAAAAAAAATGTACAATCTCTCTCCGTGCAATTTAAAAAAAAAAAAAAAAAAAAAAAAAAACTTTACACAATTTCAACGTATATATACGTTTTATTTGAATGAAACTCTTTTCTTTTTCTTTACCTTTCGTGAAATAAAATCATTCACGTGATATATTTAAAATAGATTATTCGTTGAATCAACTAATTTATTATTTATCGTTTCCATAATATATTTCAAGAGTGTAGTCGAGTATTATAACTAAGTATACGTTGATACGATAAAATACAATCGATGTAGCATCCATACGGAAAAGAAAAAGAAAGAAAGAAAGAGAGAGAGAGAGAGAGAGAGAGAGAGAAACATCTTCCATCGCAAACACAGAATGCACTGCTATAATTTAAAAAAATATCAATGTTAACCATCGACCTTTCCAGATGTTTCCTTTCTTTCTTTTCCTTTCGTTTAATATCCAGAAATATCGGCATACCTTGTATACCGCATATATTTATTACATTTAAATCGCACTTCTTTCTAAAAATAAAAATAAAAAAAAAATTCAACGAAAAAGAAAATAGTTACATGTTTATGAAAAATGTTAGAAAATGTAAAACAGGGAATGAGATCCTTTTTTTTATGGAAATTTTATACTTTAGACGTCCTTTCATTTTTATGGGGGTTACGAAGCAAACGTCAAAAGAAAAAAAGTTCAATCTATAAGACACTTATGCGCAATTTTTGTTCGTTGTCAGTGTGTAACTTGATTATTCGATTAAAATAATAATAAATAAAAAAAAAAACCATCGTGGTTATTTATATATATTAATAAAAATTATAAAAATTTGTATATCTAGTATATTATATATAAAAACATATTCGAGAGATTAAAATGACGAAATTCGTTGATCCCAAAATTATCTTCACATTTTAAAACGTTAAATAAAATAATTATTAATAATAGTAGTTAAACAAAAAGAGACATATAAAGTTGTTCTTCAAAGGTCGTCGGGAAATTGTCTATGGTTTATTGCGGAAACTATAAATGCATACTTAATGAAAGGCACGTTTCCGTCGAGAACATTTTACCGACCATTTCTCTCTCGCAAACGTGACTTATTTCAGATTGCAAAAAACCTACCTACCATATATACCTATATATATAATAAAATACACGTGTCTCAATGATTTTCTAACGCGCGTGGGAAATGACAATAGAAAAAAAAAATAAGAAAATGAAAGGCAATGACATTAGAATAGATGACATTAAAGATGACGCGTAAAATTTCATTAACCCTTTGGCCTATAACCACGAGTCAGACTCGTGGTGAAAAAT